GTTGGCATGCCACATGGAGACTGGGGGGGACCAGGCTGGAGGCAGAAGAAAATAGTAAGAATCCAGGTGAGAGGTGAGCTTGGCTTGAACTAGAGTAGCCACAACAAACATGAAGTTAAGTGAGCAGATCCAAGTTGTATCTGGGAGGAGGAATCGATAGGCTGATGGATGAGAGGCAGGATTCCAGGTGACACCCATCACTGACTTGGGTAACAACGGCTGTCAGACCAAGAGGAGAAGTGGTCTGGGTGGAGGGGTGATGGAAAGTTCAGCTGAGTTTGAAGTTCAAGGGCAGTATCCACATGGAGGTGGCCAGTGGGATACAGAGGCTCTGAGCTCAGAAGAGAGAACTGGGCTGGCCACAGGGATCTGGGAGTCATCAGCCCAGAGATGTGAACTGAGGCTGTGGGAGCAAGAGGACCCGCCTCCCCCCGCCCCCCAAGGAGGGCAAGGACACTGAGGGGGAGATAAGGCAGAGGACAGAACCCTAAGAAACTGTGGCCTTTATGAGTCAGCTGGAGAAGGCAAGGGCTAAGTAGGAGCAACCAGAGAGGGAGAAGGAAACGCAGCCCAATTATAATCCTCATAATACCTTGTACCATTTACAGGTGGGGAAACTGCAGGCTTTAGTATTGTTTTGTTAGGGCACAAGGACAGAGAAACTCAGAGCTAAATGTCTTGCTCCGTCATATAACCACCCTTCGCCTAGGATTTCTCGGGTATCTCCTTCTCAACCCCTGTCCTCCTGTTTAGTGCCTCAGTTTTCCAGGTGTTGTGATTTTGAAAGTAGAGTGTAAATGAAAAGAATGACAGGATTCAAGAGGTGCTATTTGCACACAATGAGGCGGGGAGGGGGTATTTTGTTTGTTTTTATTTTTTATATTTAGAGAGGGAGGAAGAGAGAGAGAAACATCAAGCAAGAGAGACACATTGTTCAGCTGCCCCCACCCATGCACCTGACTAGGGATAGAACCCATGACCTTCCAGTGCACAGGATGATGCGCCAACCAACTGAGCCACACTGGCCAGGGCCTCATAGTGAAGACAGTGATGCCTCGAACTTTGGTCTTTACTCAGGCAACCTCGCTCTTGGTGATGGTAGGAGGAGGACAAGATGAAGAAAGGTCAGCTAATTCTCAGCACCTGTGCTCCACTCCTTCCTCTTGCACCCGAGGTCGGCATCACTAACTGATCCTCACCTGCCCTCCTTCTTCATGAAGCCTTGACAGGGCCTCAGACCCCGTCTCTAGGCTGCCACTGAATCAGAGCCGGCAAGCCTTCTGGAATAGCGTGGCCATCCCTGGAGTGAGCCACCGCCCCACAAACCACCAGAAGGTCTCTTTATTATGATGAACCTTTTATTATAGAGAGAGACTGAACTCTTTTGCATAAAGAATCTCTGGATTGGGTCAGGGAAATCCACCTGCTAAAAGGGCACCAACCAGCTCTCTCTGCCTCTGCCTCCGCTAAGCCCCACTTGCTATGTTCATCTCAAGGTCACTGGAAACAGCAGAGGCTGCTGTCCCCAGGGCCAGGCTGGTGGGTGGGGCCACGCTAATCAGAGGGTCAGGGCTCCTGGCTGTCCACCAGGTCAGAGTCGCCCCGTCTCCCGCCCCAGTTGGTTGTCCAGAACCTGGAGCTGCCGGAGGAAGCCCGAGTTGGGGCAGATATCACGGTGGGTCTGCACCGTCTGGATGGCCTGCACCAGTGTCATGTTCTCGTAGATCATGAGGAAGGCCAGGACGACAGTGGCGGAGCGGCTCACCCCCATGGCGCAGTGTACCAGCACGCGGCCTGCAGGGAGACCCGACCCAGTGTCAGTTACCTGCCCTCCTACTACCCACCCATTTGGGATTCAGAAGTCCTTCTGGCCCTCCTTCAGCCCACCTGTCACAGTGTCCTAGAATACTGACACTGTGTCCGGTGTCAGGTGGGGCAAATGAGGCCCAGAGAGGGAAAGGAACCGGCTCAAGGTCACACAGTAAGTTAGCGGAGGAGCTAAGGTTAGCAGCTGGGATTCCCCTCTCCTGGTTCAAGGTGCTTCCTCTGGCCTCCTTGAAACCTTGGGGAGTTGGTGGGGAGTGCGAGAGGAGGGTACTGTGGGAGTCCCCTGGGTTTGTGTCTCTCTTTCCGCCCAGTTCTGCCCTCTCCCCGTCCCTGCAGCCCTATGCCAAGGCTTCACTGTAGAAGCGTCTGCTCAAGAGCCTTTGCTAGGTCCCGTGCCTGCTACCCCCACCTGCTCTCTCACGGAGGGATATGGTTATACTGATGACCACACCGACCTTAGTTCTGTCTGTGATTGTTGGTGGCCAGGGAGTCTCTGAGGGCACGCTCACTAAATGGTAGTAGCTAATTGCACCTTGGGTGGGAGGGTGCTGGACAGGTTTGGGGCTCAGGACACACTTCCTATCAGTGCCGCTGGAAAATGGACAGCCCCGGCTCTCACCCACCCCACCTCCCCCCCACCTCCTCCTTCCCCGGAGCCCACCTTGGGGAACACTGAGGGCGGTTCGGATGTATCGGGCAACAGGCATGAAGTGGACACTGAGGTCAAAGAAGGGGTTGTCATCAGCCTCGATGCCATAGTACTCCAAGGGCATTCCGTGATAGAACTTGGCACCTGTGTCCACTTGAAACTTGCCCGCAGCAACATTCACAACATGGGTGATGCCCAGCTGGGCCAGCTTGCTCTTGTCCCGGGCTGCGTACCTGGAGGGAGGGCACAGGGGAGGCTGGGAATTGGGAGGTGGGGGCAGGTCTCCCTTGGGGGTCAGTTCTGGCTGGACTGTCCCCTTCCCTCCTCTGCCACTGCCATCAAGGGGAGAGGCGGGAACAGCAAACTGGTCCCAGGTGAAGGGTCTCCTCTAGTTAGAGTTCAAGACTCCCTTCACTCGGACCAACTTTTCTGGAGAGCATTTTGGCCACAGGCATCAAAAGCCTTTGCCCAGCCGATGTGGCTCAGTGGTTGGGCGTTGACCTATGAACCAGGAGGTCACGGTTTGATTCCTGGTCAGGACACATGTCTGGGTTATAGGCTCAATCCCCAGTGTGGGGGTGTGCAAGAGGCAGCCAGTTAATAATCCCCTCTCATCATTGATATTTCTCTCTCTCTCCCTCTCCCTTCTTCTTTGAAATCAATAAAAAATATTTTTTTTAAAAAATGTTCACATACTTTGTCCAGCAAGTCTCCTTCTAGGGACTTAAGAAAGAATCTGGGGGGAAATCACTAAATATCCTCTAATAGGTGGCTGAGTGTGTAAGGTAAATGACATACTATGCAACCACTGAAATAGAGTAGACACAGGTGAACAAGGAAGGGTGTTCATTAGCCAACGCCACCCCAATAAATGTAATTTAAAAAAGAAAAGTGCTCATGCTATATTGAGAACCTATGGAAAATGCACAATACAAAACAGAACGTTGTTTAAGAAGGTTTTAAAAATATGTAGTATGATTCCATTAAAAAAAGCTTTCAGTATAAAGCAGATTACAAAACAGGATTATAAAGTGATACCATTTGCTGTAAAAATAAAAACGAAATGTGAAAAAGCATGTGTGTGTGTGTGTGTGTGTGTGTGTGTATGCACTTTTTAAAAGTCAATAAGGATTTTATTACTGGTTATCTGTAGGGAGGATAGCATATTTGCCATATTGTTAACAAGAACCCTATTCTCTAAATATTAAGGAAATTTTCTAAAATCCACATATATTAGTCCATATGTTTAAATTTTAAGGAAAAAAAAGATAAGAAACAATGACTGAGTTCTACTCTCTCTATGTACCTTATGTAACTCGTGTGTGTTACCAGGACACATGTACCAGAATGTTTCTAGGATCGCTGTTCATAGTAGCCAACAAGTGGGAACAACTCAAGTGTTTGTATACAATAAAATGGATAAACTATGTGGTATCTGTACAATCAAATATTTTTACAGCAATGAAAAAATGAACTATACATAATAACATGGGTGAATCTTACAATTTTGCACAAATTGTGTCACGCACAAAACACACGCAATATGATTCCATTCATCTAACTTTAAAAGATAGGCTAAACTAATTATATAGTTAGGTATATGAACGGTAAAAGTATAAATAAAAGCAAGGAAATAATTATTTCAACACTTAGTGATTGTCCACAGGGAAACAGAAGGGTTCAGAAGGTATTTCTGAGGCACAACTAATGTCCTATTTCTTGACCTGGCTGGTGAAACTGTTCATATGCACTCTATGCACTTTTGAGTGTTCTACTTCCACAATTAAAAAAGTAATTTCTATAAAAGGGAAGAAACATGTGGAAAGAGATGATGGGAGGCCCCTGGAGGGCTCTGGGAGAGGCTCCCCTTCTGCTCCCCACTCTCCCACGTGGGTCGGACTTACGCATCTCCCAGGAAGAGGTTGGGCCAGACCTCGTCGATGTGGCTCAGCATGGTGGCCCGACGGACCCACAGCAAGCGCTGCAGTGAGGACAGCGTGGGCGGCTGGTAGGGCGACACAGAGACTGACCCGTGGATCTTGGGTCTCCGGAGGTCCTGCTTCTGCAGGGAATCCATCCTGGAACAGGGTGGACACCGCGGTGGCTAGAGGCAAGCTCCCAGAAGGTGGGTCCGGCTGGCCCGGAGGCCCAGGTGGTACTGGGATGGTGCGGGAAGGGCTTCAGCTAGTTCACGCGAGGTTACTAACCAACTCAGCTGGGCTGAGGCCGAGACCATTTCCCCAGGAACGAGGGAATCAACCTCTTGTTACCCTCTCTCCCACCCTCTCCAGAGGCCCTTGAGGCCAGAAACTTTGGCCAAGGGGTCCTTGGGGCTCCCTGTTTGTGGTGATGAGCCAGTGCAGATCCAACCCCTTAAGTCGCTGGTCACTTGGGACTTTGTAGGGATGGAGGCCTCGGATGGCCGTGGCCCCCTCAGCCTGGGCAGCTCATCTCAGCCCCCTCCTCTGCTACCTCCAGGGCTGATCTCCATGTTCAGGTGCTTGGAGAGCAGAGTCAGTCTCTGGAGTGAGGGGCCTGGGCTATGAAGGACATCTGTTGCATTTCCATATGGAATGAGCTAATGCCTCTCAGGGGCCTGGGACCTCACTGTGGTAGGTCCCTATTTTACTTGGGAGAAAGCTGAAGGTCAGAGAGGAAAATTGTAAGTGCCACCCACAGCCATAGGGCTGATGTGTAGCGAGGCTGTGGTTTCAATCCAGTTCTCTGACCCCGCAGTTCAGTCCCCAAGTCTTCCAGTTACTACCTTGGGGGACTCCAGAGAGTGGTCAACAGCCCATTCAACTCTACAGGGAGCCCGGCGCTGCGGGTACGCCTGTGCCTGTAAGTCCTGGGACTTGCCTCCTTACCCCGATGACTCGGGCCAGCGCTGCGGGTCAGGCCTCACCCAGTTGGGGTGAGTTGTCTCAGGAATCAGCTGGCTGGGGGGGTCCGGGCCCCTGCTGAGCTGAGTGGTCAGTGGCACCAGAACATGGGTCTGGTGTCGTCCTGGGAAGGGGTGCCTCTCTTGGCTAACTGACCCTGGTCCTCTCAACCAGTAACTAGGGAAGGTACAAACTGGAAAAAACATCTTTTCTCTTTGGCAGGCGGTGCTAGGACCAGAGAGAGAAATAGGCACCCAGGAGGCCACTGGCTTGGCCAAGCTCACCCAGCGGGCAGCCGGTGGGCAGGGCGGAAGGGAAGACCCGGCTTTCCCCTTCATCCCCCACTGTGACCTCTCAGGGCAGGCTGAGTGGCCTGCCACCTACCTAGGGCATGGTCTAGGGCCAGGAGTGGGGGAGTGAGGGCAAGGACAGAGCTAAGCACATGAGCGGAATGGGGCTGGGGCAGGTTCCGCCCAGAACACAAACGCTGTGAAGCGGCTAGAATTCCAGGCCCTCCTCTTGGAGCCCACGGGGTAGGGGGGGTGGGGGGTGGGGGTCTGAGAGCAGACCTAGGCCCCTGTAGCAGGGAGCACAGTCCCTCCAAACCCCATGCCTTCTCCATGTTGGGCATCTCTTTCAGTCTTGTCCACGTTTCTCCTCCCATGTTAAGTAGCCTGGTGTTGCCTGACTGAGGGGTCTGTAGGGGTCTGACCTGAGAATGAGAGGAGTGGCTGGGTGTGCAGCAACCACAGGGTAGAGAGTGGGGTAGTGTGTTAGGATGGGGTAAGCCCCCGGGCTCCAGAATCATCCAAAAGCCACACTGGGCTGGAGCTGCCAGCTGGTGCTTGAGCCCCAGGCAAGGCAGATGGGGCTTGGGGAAGTCAGGCAGGCGCGGGCTCAGGCCTCTGAGCTTGGCGTGGGGTAAGGCTGCCCCCCAGTGGCCAGTGGGTGCCTCGCAGCCCAGCTGTGTCTGGGAGTAGGCAGCCAGGCTTTGGTTGAGAGAGCTGGACCCTGCTCCTCCAGAGGCTCCTGGGCAGAGGAGGAGACAGCAGAGGGATCAAGGATCTGGGGTTCCTCAGGCACAGCCCCGCCTCAGCCTCCTAGGGGACCTAGGCCCAGGTCTCGAGAATGGCACCTTTCCCTTGGACTAAGGGGTACTCCTCGTCAGACCCCAGCTAGATGGATCCCCCACCTGTCTCCCCATCCCACTTTGCCAGCGGAGGCAGGCCCAGCCCCTGTGGGAAGTGCCTTCCATGTGTTACCTCGCAGCAGCCCCACTGAGGACACTGGCTCAGAGACGTGCACACAGATGCAAGCACCAGGCCTAGGAACACTGCCCACGTCTGCCCTCCTCCAAGGTCTGCAGGCTGGGGACAAACCCACTGGCAGCTCACTGTGGGCATCCCCTTGCCCAGTGACACATTCTTCATGCTCCAGACACAACCATGGACAGGGACTTGGTGGCTGCAGCAGCTCCCCCGGTTTCTGCCACCCACAGACCTGGACTGCCAGGGACCTTGCCTAACACTTCCTCCCAATCTCCTCGGCCACCTGAGGGTGACGCAGGGCCCAGCTCCATCAGGGACAGGGCTGGCTTGGCTGCTCTCCCCGTGCACTCCAGGCCTCCTTCCTGCATCTCCCCCTAAGCTAACAGATGCCTCTGTAGGCACCAGCTCTGCCTGCTGTTGTGTCACTGCTGATTACAAGTTCACACACTGTTTTCTGCCTTTGCCTCTCTCCTCCTCGCTATGTTGCTTTCCCGTGGCCTCTGTCTCCCACCCTCCCCAGGAGCTGGGCTGCTCCACAGCCTCCCAGCAGCCCTGCCTGCTGGTGGCCTCAGGCCAGGCCCCGCTGTCTCAGGGCAGCAGCTGTTTGCCACCCACCTCCTCGCACAGCCCCAGGAGCTATCGCCCTGCTCTCCCCTGCTGCTCACTCTCTCTGCCCCTCCTTCCCCCACAGGCTGACCAGGTGAGACTGTGGCCTCAGGACAGGTGGGGCGGGAGAGCTCTGAGGAGGCTGGCGAAGGAAGCCTAAGAGAGGTGTTCACGGGCTTCCAATGGTGAGCGGCCGGTGGGTTTGTCCCCAGCCTGCAGGCCTTGGAGGAGAGCAGACCTGGGCCTGGTGCTGGCATCTGTGTGCAGGCCTCTGAGCCAGTGTCCTCAGTGGGGCTGCTGTGAGGACCCCACGGGGTAATGAATGGAAGGCACGTCCCACAGGCTCTGCCTCATGGTAGCTGCCCAATAAACAGGACATCTTACTGTTGCCATCACCGCTATTATTACTGTTACCTATTCAAGCCGGAGCCATATCCCGGGAGAGGGCGACTTTCCACGGGTCAGTGAGGCGTGGCCTTTATCTCTGTGTTTCCTGATGTCTCTTTCTGTCACGATGATTATTGTTACATTCACCTCTCACTAAGGATGCACTAGGTACCAGCCAGAGCTAAGTGTTCACATGTTCTCATTGAATCCTCACAGTACCTTAGGAGGCAGGTAATATCACGATCCCCATTTTACAGGAAAGGAAACTGAGACTCGGAGAGATTAGCGATTTACCCAAGGTCACACAGCCAACAGCATGGGAGCCAGGATTCAAGCGCAGGTCTTTCTGACTCTGCTATGCTTTGTCTGTGCCTTTATGTGACCCGTCCATCCCTCAATCTAACCCAGTCCCCCTCACCCCCGCCACAATACACGCAGGCCCAGGTGCCCCGGCCCTCACTACCCAGCAAGCTCTGTGCACCCCCTGAAGGAGGGGCACTCACCCACCTGCGGGGGGATCTGGCCCGGGCTCTGGTCTTGTCTGACAGGCACGTTGTGCTGCTGACTTCCAGCCGCTTGTCTCTGCGCACTTGCTGCTGTTTCTATTTTTGATTTGAGTTTAATTATAAAGCATGATGTGCTGCTCCCCTCTCCAGCCTCTCCTGCCATTCCCCGCTCCCCCACTGGTCCCACGGCATGGTCAGTGCCACACCCAGCCAGGCAGCCGGCAGGGGGATGCCTGCGGCATGAGTGGATGTGGATGTTGGTTGTGGGCAGGGAGAAGGAAGATCAAATAAGCCATTTTAAAAGCTTCAAGGCGGGTGTGGAACATGGGCAGAAAGTTGAAGCTGGAAGGCTCCTCTATGGAGGAGGATGGGGAAGAGAGCAGCCACAATCACACACAAACCAGCGGGATCGCCAACATCAGGACCCAGGCCCAGGGCCTTTAGTTGGGGACTAAGGATTACATTAAGTTCTAGAAGACGCGGGCTGAGGGAAGTACGGGAAGACAGACAGACAAAGGGGTCAGCGGGGTTCAGAGCAGGTCTTCTGATGCCCTGGCCGGCTGTCAGAAGCTCTGTCCAGAAGCCCCTCTGCCCTCTGCCAAGTTCCTCCTTCCCCCAGAGACATTCTGACCCAGGTCCCACTTCCGTGTGGCCAGGGAAATGGTCCTTAAGGCGCCTCCTAAGGTTAACTGTGATCAGCTTGAGACCTTGGATTTGGGCCTATTAAGAACCCTCCCTGCTCTCCAGAGACCCTCCTCATATACCCAAACCTCAGTGCTCTTCCCACTCACTCTCAGGTACCGTGCGCACACACCTGTGCACCCCCCAGCCACACCTGCAGGGTCTCTGAAGTCTGAGCTCCAGGGAATAAGGCCCAGCCCCTGCTGGGGCTCCCTGAGCCCAGGGAGAGCTGGTGGATCTCCTCAGATCTCGTCCCCTCCTCCCCCCACCCCCCAGGGCCCATTCCCACCTGTGGGGGCTGAAGACAGTGGCTGAGAGAAAGTGCAGGCAGCCTGAGGAAGCGGAAGGAGTAGCAGGCTGTAGGCCGGACCCCGCACTGGGCTCTGATCATCTTCTGGGTGTCCACCTGGGCCAGAGCCCCCGGCAGCGCCAGCAGGGCCAGTGCCAGGGTGGCAAAGTGGCAGAGCCCCGTGGCAGGGAGCAAGGACCAGCTCTGGGGGAGAATGAGCTCCATGTTACAGGCAGGTAAGCCAAGGCCAGATTGGCTGGGGCCACATCATTGGGTCGGGAGAGGAGCTGCCACCCAAACCTGCTTCTGCTTTGAACCCCCTGGGTAAGGCCAAGAGGGCACCGGTGCTGGGAGAGATGAGGAGGCAGGTTTGGGGCCCAGGGCTCACAGCCCCTCATTTTGCAGAGTGCCCAGCCCCAGGGCTGCGGGGTACGGCTGCACACCCCACAACACCCGGGGCTCCAGTTGCACAGACTATTTGGGGGATGCACCCCCAGGAACTGTGCAATGCTGTAGCTCAGGTGACTCCCCCAAAGCCAGCTGCCTGAAGGGAAAATGCTGAGGTTTTGGGTCAGGGTATTTGAGAGCCTCAGGCCTAGGAAGTGGGGTGACGGGGCATGATCAGAGACCTGCTGCTCTGCCAGGCTCCTGAAGCCTGTTTAGAGGAAAGAGCAGGGCGGGAGCACGCATTCCGGTCCTCCTCTTGGCTCCCCGTGCCCGCAGAGCTCACCACAACAGCTTCCCACTCAGCTCAGCCCCGGGCCTAGGCCCAACTCCAGCTATAACCCTCATTTCCTCCCATTACACTCACCCCCAAATTCCAAACCTAGCCCTCCGTCCTGCCCTAATCCCCATCCCCAAGATGCTCACCCTCCTGACAGCATGTGTGAAGGGGTCAAATTGCTAATGTGCCCCTCCCCACACTTGGTTGAGCTGGCTATGTATTCAAAGACCAAGACAGCTCTTCTGAGTGGGGGCCGGGGAAGGATTCAGGCCGTGCTCTTGGCAGGAGGAGAAAGCTGTTGCTCTTCCAACTATCAGGAGAGCCTAAACCAGCCACCCACCCCCACCGGCAGCTCCTGTGAGCCAGTGGGTGGTGCGGCACAGCCAAAGTCAAGGTTGAGGAGAGCTGAGGGAAGGAGCTGGCTAGCAGGAGCTAGAGGCAGGCTCAGGGAGTGGACAGCACCTCTGGAGGCCTAACCCCCCAGCTGATGGCACTCACGGGAGATGTGATGTGGGGAAGGCAGGCTGCTGGGACCAGCCGGGGACAGACCCAGCCTGGGCGTGGTGGGAGAAGGGCAGTGGGGAAGAGCTGCTTACTCTGCAGCTCCCTCACAATCCTGGTAGCACCCAGGAAGAGACACCCTGGCCTCCTCCCAGTGAGCTGGAGGAAAACCCAGGGCTGATGCCAGAGAAATGGAGGCAGCGTGTTGCTGGGGTAGCCCGACTCTGTCCACTAGGCAGCTGGCGGGCCTCCAGCAGGAGGGGAGGGGCTTGCAGAGGGAGGTGTTAGGGATCTGTTCCCCTGTGCTATTGCTCCAAATGCGCTGAACACAGAACAGGAGGCAGGTACATGGAAGCAGGAAGGAGTCTGAATAGACTTCAGTAAGACCTGTATGTCCTAAAGGGGTCCCAGAACCAGAGAGGAGGGAGATTAGGGAGAGTTCTTCTATTGATCTGAGATCAGATTGGGTGGGGGGGGGGGGGGGGGCAGGTAGGGCGTGGGGTGCTGGGTCGAAGGAGAGGATGGATTGGCATGATGACAGGAGAACTTCACAGCAGCAGGGCTGTGTGAGGAGGTCGTGGCTGGCGGCAGCACCTGTTCTCCTTCGATGGTGAGTCCGGGCTGATGTGAGAATTCACTAAATTTAAGCAATAGCTGCAGCCGCACTTTCCCCCAGAGCTGAAGCTGTGGGAAGATTCAGACAGACCATGGTTCCAGGACTGGCTGGCTGCTGCCTTGGGCGGTGGGGGGCGGGGGGCGGGGTAAGAGAGCCACCAGAGGCCTTTGACCAAGGAGACATCGCAGGTTAGCATCAAGATCAGGTAGGAAGGCCTCACCTCTCCCATTTTTAAGCTTTCCAGCCCTTTCTTTCCTAGTTTTTCCATCCTCTCTGGGGTCTGAAGAACCTGGGTAGGCTGGGAGAGAGAGGTTTATCTTGGCTGGGCCCTGATAAGGCCTTGGGTTGGTGAGGGGAGCCCAGCAGGTTGGAGAGCGGGCCAAGCCCCCTTCCACCCTCAGTTCCAGCCAGGCAGCCCTAACAACTACGCTCACTGTCCCCTCCCATGTTCCCCACCCACCCTCCCCTGACCTTTCACTTCCAGCCCTCATTGGCCTCCCCCTTCCTGTTCCCTGCCCAGCTCTCAATGGGCCTCTCACTTCTAACTGCACCCAGCCTTGCCCCCTTGTTCCCTCCCCCTGCCCAGCCCTCACCTGGCCCCTCAGCTCCGGCCTGCACCCCGCAGCTTCTGGTCCAGCTGGCAGAGCTGGTGAAGGAAGCCTCGGTTCTGGAAGACCCATCGGTGCTGCCTCACGGTGATCACCGCCTGGCGCAGGGACATCTGCTGGCGCAGCATGAGGTAGGCCAGGACCAGAGTGGCGGAGCGGCTCACGCCTACCACGCAGTGCACCAGGACCTTGGCTGAGGGAGACATCCTGGTGAAAGAAGACCCTTCCCCACCAGCAGGCCCACCCAGGGGCCCAAGTTCCTCTCCCCGCCCTGCCGTGGGTGTACTCTGTGACAAGCCCTGGCCAAGTCATTCAACATTTAGGGACCTCAGCGTCTTCATCTGTCAGATGCGTAGACCAGCTCCTACTTAGCCTCATGGAACTTGCCATTACGTTTGGTGGGATGACGGTCAAAGTGGACCCCTTGGGCTGGGGCCCAAAGTCTTATAAGTCATGGCTCATAAGACCCTCCATGAACTGGCCCCACGGATCCCGCAGCCTCATCTCAGGCTGTCCCACCCCAACCTTCAGCTCTAGCTGTGCGCGTAACTTCCGGCTCCTTGAAGCTGTCATGGTCTCTGGCCTCCAGCCTTAGCACATGCTCTTCCAACTCCTTGTAACCCTTTCCCCCTGCTCTCGGACTGACTAACATCTACTACTCATCTGTCAGGGCTCAGCTTCTTTGCATAGGCATTCCCGACCACTCATGGGGGCGCCTGAATCATGGAGCAGCTCATCCTTTTTGCACGTGGCCCAGTGACTACTGCTGCAGGGGGGAGTCACCCTGCCTGCCTGCTCCTCTGCGCTGAGCACCCCTGCCCTGCGCTCCCTCAGCTCTTCACATTTCCCCACTCCTGTGCGTAGCACTCGTACCACTTTACGCTGTGACTGTCTCCCCTCCAAACATAATGACAAGGTCCGTGAGGGCAGGCACCCTGCCTTGTCTACGCGTGAATTCCCAGCATCTAGCTCAGTGCCTGGCACAGAGAAGACAGTAAATAGCTGGCAAGTGGATGGATGGAGAACAAATGAATGTCAAAGTGTTTTGAATATTAAGAAGTGCTGTGAGGCATAGTCTTGTCTCTCCCATCACGCAGTTGAGAAACTGAAGTCCAGAGAGGGATGCTGGCTCGCCCAGGTGCCAGTGGCAAAGGCCAGAGCGCTCACCCAGGATAAACACAGCCCAGCTTCCCCCGGGGCCCTTGTTGTCCCCTGGGTGCTAGAAGTTTTGTTTTGTTTTTCCATTTGAAAGTACTTTGTGGCATAAACCAGACATCTACGTACCAAACGGCAATTTCTGAAGGCTGTGTGCTACAGAGAAAGAATTGTTTTTGCTGTTTGGGAGGCCTGGCTTCCAGGGCTGCTCCTAACCGTAGCATGGTCTTGTATTCTAGGCCTCAGTTTCTCCATGTGTGAAGCTATGCATAAATCACTGGAGCACTGAGCAGACATTTTTTTTAAAAAAAAAGCTGATGGCTTTTTAAAAACTAGGGTGGTTGGGGTCCCCCCCTAAGGCCTCCGGGAGGACCCAGTGCAGCTCTCTGTGGCGAGCGCAGCGCCTCCTCCTCCCTTTCCTCCGGGTGCCTTTTCCTTGCTCCCTCCTTTCCCTGGGCTCCCAGGGCCCTTCTCTGGCCTCTGTGGCTTGTTTCCTGAGCCCATTTCTTCCCTGGCTCATTTCTACCTCTGTGACTTTCTAGATAAACCTTCTCTTACAGTTTAGAAAAAAAAAATTGTTTTAAATAAAAACCAGGGATGGGAGGGCACTGATGTTTGAAGGGAAACTGGACATCCCCCCAGGACTGGACAGGACGGATCTGAGATCAGACCCCAAGTCCTACCCCCAGGTGTGCTGAGGCCGCGGTGAATGAAGTCAGCTGCCGAGGAGAAGTAGGCACTGATGTCGAAATCGGGGAGGTCGTGGGCTGGCACCCCCAGATAGCTCACGCTGCTGCCGTAGAAGTCAGGGCCGCCCTGACAGTAGAGGCCTCCATGGGCGGCGTTCAGCACGTGGGTGATGCCCAGCTTCCAGAGCTCGAAGCGGTTATTGGCTGTGGCCCTGGGGAGCGGAGGAAGGGGGCTGGAGGCTGGCTGAGCCGTGGGGTCCAGGAGGGAGCCCCCTATGTCAGGCCCCCTACTTCAGAGGGATGGAGCCATTAGGGTCCAAAGGAAGGCGGAAGGAACCCAGCCAGCTAGAGCTGGATCCACAGCTCCCAGGGCCACCCTCAGAGCTTTTGGTGGGAGAGCTGGTGGGATAGGAAGTTATCTGTAGCCCCTCTTTGCTTCCTGAGGCCATGCGCCCCTGCTGGCTGGGACAGAAAGGAGAGGATTGCCTCAGCCCTGGGACTTAGCTGCCCCGCCCTTCCTTCCTGCCCCATGCCTTCCCACGCGCTTCCTGCCTCTGCTGGCCACTACCTCATACCTGCCTCTACTCTGCAAATGTTTAGAGGTGACAACTTTCCTGATTCACCTTTAGTCAGGCTTCCTCGCCCACTGTGACCCAGGAGAGAGGCTGGGGCCAGGAAGGGAAGCTCTCTGTCCAATCCATTTCATACCCCATATCACCATTCCCCAGGCCTCTGCCCCCGAAACTCCCCCATTTTCCTGGATATGTCAGCAGACTCCAGGAATTTCTGGGAGCTCCCCTTTCCCGCAGGCAAAGTCCCCACTCCCCCTGGTGGCCGCATCTGATCACTGCACTGTCCCCAGCACACAGGACTTCTGGAGAAAGTCCCCGGGCCTAGAATCCTCAGTGCAGAACTATGTCTCCGTGTTCCCATCCCGCTCCTATCTCTGGTAAAGAGCCCAGGAACTGTCTGTTCTTGTTCCCACCCCTACAGCCCTTAGGCCAGCTACTACTCACGCATCTCCTATGTAAAGGTTGGGCCAAACTTCATCTGCCCGGTTGCAAGAAGAAATTTTCCCCGCCCGCAGGAGCTCTTCCAGTTCCACAACGCTGGGGCTAGGTGTGGCTCCCGTATCTCCCCACAGCTCTGGGAGCGGGGCCTCAGCCATGGGCCAGCCCACCCACGCCCCTGTCTCTGCAGTCACTCCTCTCTGCCTCTCCAGGGTCATTTCTCCGGCAGGAGATTGGCAGGGACAGGTGGGACAGAAAGAAGTGACTCAGCAACTCACCGGGGCCTCCGGAGGGAACAGGACATTTTCTTCCCCAAGTCACCCCCGCCAACCCCCAACTCCACTGACCACATGGAATCAGACATACCTCTGCAAACCACTTTATCTCTGCACCTCCGTTTCTTCACCCGCAAAGTAAGGATAACTGCACCTACCTCAAAGAATTGTGAAGATTTGCCCTAGCTGGTTTGGCTCAGAGAATAGAGTGTTGGCCTGAGAACTGAAGGGTCCCGGGTTCGATTCTGGTCAAGGGCACAAGGGCATGTACCTTGGTTGCAGGCTCCTCCCCAGACTGGGCCCTGGTCAGAGCTCCTGCAGGAGGCAACCAATCGATCTGTTTCTCTCACATTGATGTCTCTCTCTGTCTTTCCTTCTCTCTTCCACTCTCTCTCTAAAGATCAATAAAAAAAACATCCTCAGATAAGGATTAAAAAAAAGAGAGAGAGAGAGCCCTAACTCGTTTGGCTCAGTGGATAGAGCGTCGGCCTGCGGACTGAAGGGTCCCAGGTTCGATTCTGGTCAAGGGCCTATACCTTGGTTGCGGGCACATCCCCAGTAGGGAGTGTGCAGGAGGCAGCTGAATTGATGCTTCTCTCTCATCAAGGTTCTAACTCTCTATCCCTCTCCCTTCCTCTCTGTAAAAAATCAATAAAATATATATTTTTTAAAAAAGAATTGTGAAGATTTAATGAAACAAAGGATATTCTGTTTCTAACACATAACATATGCTTAAGAAACATTTTTGGACAGGTTAAGAAGCCCGAAAAGGCTACTCCATTCTGAGGACTGAGTTAAAGTAGAGATCCAGGGTGGAGAGGAGATGGTTGACTCTAAGGATCAACGATAGAAAAAGCTCTGCAGTCTGGGTCAGAACTGTATGGCTGTTGGATGAGTCTCCAGATTCTAGGACTCAGAAGACGTTTCCTGAGTTGCTGAGTCAGAGAACTATGGAGAGTAGGCATGGAAGACCTCATCTGAAGGATACCCACAGGGTTCACGAGTGAAGGTTTGAACAGTGGTTTTGTCATGCAGATGGCTGATTTATCAAAACAGAAGGCTGAAATGGGCCATGTATGTCAAAGGGGAAGAAAGAAGGGATGTGAATGTTGCCCTAGAGCCTAAGGGCCTGTCATCAGAAACATCTTTTGAGTTGGGAGGGAGAGTCCTCTAATTATAAGGGCTTTTGTCTCTACCACAGAAACTGAGAAAGATCTGTATCTGTCCTTCTGCCAGAGCTAGTTATTGGCAAAAGAGACGAGATGTCTTGCTGGCTCTCAGATGACTTCATGAAGGTCCTGATGGGGCAGGGGAAGCACCAGCTGCAGTGGGAAGCCTCCCAGCTGTCCCGGTCTTGAGGCCAGCTTGAGGGTAAAGTCCACACCAGGACATCCCACGTAAGCATGTCCACCCCAGAACCTGTCCCCACCCCCATCAGAGCACTGAAGTCTGTCTTGCACTGGTTGGGAAAGCAAGGCCAGGGAGGGGCTGGAGCCCAGTCACAGATGGTTTTGGACTTGGTTGATGCCAGTGCTAAGCAGGGCTGAAGCTGGGGGCTGCCGAGGACAGGGATCTGGAGGGGCCCCGGGAGACGGTTGAGGAGCCCAGGGAGTTCCCACAGGGCAGGGTAGTATAGGGGAGAAGAGCATGGGGTCTAAAGTTAGACAGATTTGAATAGGAATACTGGCTTTGGCACATAGTAACTGCAATAATTCAGACAAGTTTCTTGGCCGTGTAAGAGTTGGCACAAGGATTAAGTGAGATATTTATATGGCATTTGCCATCCCTGTCAGAGAGTAAAGGGGCAATAAATGGTAACAAGGATCATCATGTGTTGGCTCTTGGAGAGGAGCTGGCTCCCTCTAGAGCAGTGGCTCTCAACCTTCCTAATGCCTCGACCCTTTAATACAGTTCCTCATGTTGTGGTGACCCCCAACCATAAAATTATTTTCGTTGCTACTTCATAACTGTAATTTTGCTACTGTTATGAATCATAATGTAAATATCTGATATGCAGGATGTATTTTCATTGTTACAAATTGAACATAATGAAAGCATAGTGATTAATCACAAAAACAATATGTAATTATATATGTGTTTTCCAATGGTCTTAGGCAACCCCTGTGAAAGGGTCGTTCAACCCTCAAAGGGGTCGCGACCCACAGGTTGAGAACCGCTGGTCTAGAGGCATGAGGGTAATTTCCCCTCGTCCTCAAACCCCATTTACCCATCCTCTCGGCCCCTCCCCATCTTCACTGGCCTGATCTTTGGCCTTATCTTCTCGCTTTGGGCCTGACGCATGCGCTCCTGGGTTTTCTTGTGAGGTTCTCTCTTGCATCTTGAGCCCCGCGCCTCTTCCGGTTTTGGCCCCGCCCCCACCTTGGGGCTCCGCCTCCCGTCAGCGGGGCCCCGCCTCCTGAAGCAGTTCCGGTTGGGCTTAAGAGCAGTTGCCCGAGCCGCGGAGACCTGGGCAGGAGCAATGCCTGCGCGCAGCCGTCACCGCTCTCGCCTCCACTACAGGTCCCCTCCCCGGGCTCCGCCCCCGCCGCTCGGGGCGCTCCACTCCGGCGAGGCTCGGAGGGCCCCGGACTCCGACGGCGGCTCGGACGCCGACTCGGAGGTGGGTCCGGGCAGCCCGACTCGGACCACAGAGGTGAGCGGCGGCTGAGGCTGAAGCGAGGGGAGTTGGGGGGCACCTGCCGCCAGGGGCGATCGGGGTGTCGGGGCTGAAGCCGGGGGGCTGCCGAGGTCAGGGATCCGAGGGGCCCCGGGAGACGGTTGAGGAGCCCGGAGAGTGGCTCCAGAATGGAACCTGAGGGAAATGGAGGTGGTGAGCCGAGGGCCCGAGGGGGATGACGATGGCCGGCGCGGAGGGGCAAGTAGAGGCTGAGGGGCGAGAGGGAGCGGGACGCGGAGGGAGAGGCAGCTTGAGGGGCAAGGGCTCGAGGGTGAGAGGAGATGGCAGGGCCCCGCGGGCTTGAGGACGGAGGAGAGATGCTCTGGGATTTGGCCGCGAGGGCGAGGGATCGGAGGAGCGGGACCTGGGCCGAGCGACGACCGCGTGGCTGGACCGACGGAGCCGGCGGGGACGGCGAGACAGCTGGCCTAAGCGGGGTGCTGGTGATGAGGGGGAGCGCGCAGGTTCGACTGGAAGGGGAGCGGTCTCTGGGTGGGAAGTCGTCTGGCCCCAAGGGCCCGAAAAAGAGCCATGGGGTTAGGAAAGGAAAGGAGCCCCGGGGGTGTGATTGAGGCTTCGGCGTGCTCACGAGTGGCCTCCGCAGCGTCGACGGCGACGAGGGCGGTGGACTTGGCCGCGGGGCTCTGCGGACAGTGGGTCCTTTGGAAACCTGGGGCGGGAGGGGCGGCGTCCAACACTGATTTGCCGAAAGGACTGGGGGAAACAGTGAAAAGGAAGTGATGTTGGGAAACTACCAGTATAGTGAAAGGAGTGATTCTGAACATAGATACCACTTGGATTTCTTCTAACAGTACGCTTCTTTTTTTTTTTCTTTGTACTTTTTAAAATTTAAGTTTATATTAAATACGAGAGACGTTCGGATCTTAAAAAGACTTAATGCATTGCCTTGAAATTAAAACATTAGACTTGAAACAAAAATTGGGACCCTGAGGTTGTACAGATACTCAGTATGAGCGGGTCGATCCCACTTTGACAGCTGGAGTTGACACGTGTATTTGCCACAGGGTAAAAATATGGTCAGTGCAGGTGTGTCTGGGTTAAAAGGGTACATAAAACTATATGTGACATCACTGCAGTCCAGGAGCCCACCGGATCTTCCCCTTACCCATAACTCGAGGATTCGAGTTTTCTTTTGAAAATTGGAGGGGTACGTTTGATTGAGTTGCAGTTCCAATATTAATGCAATTTTGAGATATTGTACGAATAATATTTTTAGTATAGTGATCTAGAAAAATATTAGAGGATGCTTGAGGTGGCAGTTAACAGAACGGGTATAGGTGGGTACAGATAGGTGTTTTTTATAGAAGAAATGGTACCAAAATCATAATTGTGCCAGAAAAATAATGATCATAATATTTACATTTACTTTAGTATAAATAAGTTAATTTCCTTTTGTAATTGTTAAGTTATAAGATGACTTTATGAAATCTTTGACTTTAGCAAAGTTTCACATGTTTTACAACTTCTTATCTGATTATGAGTTTTGCAAAGTTGTTGTCAAAGCAAACTTTTCATCAGGTATTTCTACTCTAAGTGCTTATCAACTGTTTATTCTTCAAATTTATTGGTTGCAACAAGCTTTTAAGTTAGTTTATGTATATATGCCATTTCTTCAAATGTTCAGTGGACTAGTAATTATTTCCTCAAAGGAGAGAGGAATTCTTAGCTTTGCTCTTATTTTTTATCTTTAATATATTTTTATTGATTTCAGAAAGGGAGAGGAAGCGAGACATGGAAACATCAATGATGAGAGAAAATCATTGATCAGCTGCCTCCGGCACACCCCCTACTGGAGGTCAAGCCAGCAACCCAGGCACATGCCCTTGACAGGAATTGAACCCAGGACCCTTTAGTCCACAAGCCAACACTCTCCACTGAGCCAAACCAGTTAGCTTTGCTTTTAGCTGTTGTCAATAGATTAACTCCCTTTTCTTTAACTGGTCTATAGAGTTGAAGGAGTTTACATAGTATTTCTCTTGTTTATGTTTCAGCTTGTCCTCACCAGACTGAGGTCCTATAGAGACCTTGACTTCAAACTTAACTATGAATAGGTCTTAGCATATAAAAATTTAGGTAACATCTATTAAGTAACATCCTAATGTTACCTCAAAATTAAAGAAAGAAATTGGGGAGTTGTACAATTAATATATCAGCATACCTAATAGTTATTTTTGTTTCCCTTTGATAGTTCTCACAATCACTTAGCAGTTTCTCTAAGGCAAGAAAATGTATATTACTCCAGAAGAAGCCATCATGACTGCCATGGCAGAACATGCAGACATATTTAGAAAAATCAGTTTTGATTTCAGTAGCACTCATTCTATTCTGCAAAGATTCTCATTCACGTTGACTTATGCATGGAAAATTCCTGTCTTCATTCTTTATATGGTGGTATATTGTTAGTGAAGGTTGAAATCATCTTTTAAATTTAAAACTTCTGTGGCTTTGATTCTTTCTGTCCATCAAACTGACTTATATGAGATATGAATACAAATCTGTATACTGCTAAATTATTGACGAAGCTCTTTTTAAAGATTGTGTTATTAGTGGGAAAATACAATATGATCTGAATGTAATTCTTTTAATGGATTTAGGTTACAGGGAAGGACTACACTATCCTGCCCAGCTTAAATGTTTTAATTTTTGCAGATTGGGGAAACTTAATTTTTTTTCACTTTTCTCTCATGTGTTTGTATTTGCTTACAAATAAGGTATTCTTACTTATATAATGCTGTATCTTTGTGTTTTTAAAAATCATATATGGGTGTTTATTCCAATAATGCTGGCAGTATCTTTGTGTTTTTTAAATTTTTGCTTGCATGTGGTTTTGAAAACTTTTGAAATCTAGTTTTGTTTGTTTTTTTCTCTAAGGGTATGATGTAACACATTGAGGGATAATATTTGGGCAAAAACAGAAAGAACCACTTGACTAAAGGTAATCATGACAGTCATTCTTACTTTAGGTCTTGTGGTTCTCTTGGTTTTGAGAAATCAAGAAGTTAATTAAAAGTAGGAGAGCATGGGCCAGGCACACTTAGAGAACAATTCAGTGTTTACATGCTGCCTCTGGTTAATTTGCCATCTAAATATGTGGCTATGGATTTGTGACAGACCTGTGGTGTGAACATTCCTGCACTCCCTCCTTCCCTACACACAGCACCATCACTGGATCTTAAGCTAAGCCTGGACTTCATGTTTCCATATTGAAATATTGTTACTTCATCACACATTGAGCCCTCCTAGTAATCACTTCTGTACAGAATGTAACATAAAGTGAGTCTATCCTGGCTCTTGCATAGGATGGCAGAAACTAGGAAAACTTGGTTATAATAGCTTCATTACAGTGTGTGTGTGTGTGTGTGTGTGTGTGTGTGTGTGTGTATGTGTGTGTGTGTATATATATATATATATATATATATATAAGTGATCGTCTGACTGTTCGACCGGTAGCTATGACACCACTGACCTCCAGGGGGCAGATGCTCAATGCACAGTCATGGAAACATGGAACAGACTGATGAATCTCAGAGGGAAGAGGGGAGGAGAAAGAAGGGGTGTGGGAAGAGATTAACCAAAGATGTTATATGCATATACTAGAGGCCTGATGCATGGATTCGTGCACCGGTGGGGTCCCTCAGCCTGGCCTGTGGGGATCAGGCCGAAACCGGCAGTCCAACATACGCTGAGGGGTCCCAGATTTCGAGAGGACTTAGGGCAGGCCGAGGGACCCCACTGGTGCACGAATCCGTGCACTGGGCCTCTAGTTTAATTACAAAATAGTATTTTATGATATGTATCTCAAAAAGGTGTTGTGGAGTCAGTGACCTATGTTTGCATTTGTCTTAAACTTTTATTGTGGGTTTTTGTTAAGCTTTTGAATTATGGCAAAGGACAAGAGAGGTGGTAATATGTCTATTATCTATTATCTTGACCCTTTTTCTGTTCTCTTAAAATTCTAGGTAGGAAATTCTAGTATGAGGTGAGAACTATGCTAATTTAGGGTCTTCCTATAAGTTAAACTGTATCACAGAGTTATTGGAAATGCCATCTAATTGGTTTTAGTTTGGAAACTTTAAGACTAAATTAAATCGATGTCAGTTTCATCAATAAATTGTTGGGATGAAAGTCAAAGGCTGCCAAAACCATACATTAACTTTCGGGTTCAAATCCAATATATTTTCACAATATTGTAATGGAATTTGAAGTCTTGAGCCAGTTTCTCATTTTCCATTATGTTGATTTGATTTGGGGGTGTAGCATATTTAAAAATAATGATTTTTACCAATCAATATGTCAAACTGTTAGCTTGCCCAAATATTATTTCAGTGATTAGAATAAGAATTATAATTGGCATGTTTGGCTTTTTTACTGGTATGCTCTGGCATGCAGCCTGGTCAAGCTCTTCATCAGATTTACCACTAAATTTTGATTGTCGTGTTTGCATAACTGAGGATGTAAACTGGACAATGTTGTTTATTAGTTTCTTATTCATTGAGTTGAGACAGTTCTAGACTGGTATAGACTTAAGTGCAACCTGATAGCGGGAGTCTTAAAGACAAATTGGAGCCAGAAAAAGTTTGTGCTCATTGGTATGCATGATAACTTTTTAAAAAATGTAATATATTGAGTGCATGGTCCTGGCAGCAAAAAAATGTCCCAGAACGGAGGTGCGGTATGATGATATAACTGAGGAGGCTATTTGACTTCTTCAAATGTGCTGTCCCAAATTCTGTTCAGAAGTGGGGCACAACAAAACAGAAGAAAAATCACTGCTGGGGTGTCAAAAATGGATGGTAGGAATTGGTTCAAAGTCTTAGAAATTGTTTTGTAATTATACAGATTTCATAGGTGTTTTAGAAAAGATGCCCTGTGCTTACTAAGAAAAAGTAAACAGATACATCCTCTGTATTCTAAAGGTTCTCTTGATAAAGATCAAGAGAAAAGAATAGTTTTTG